GTTCCACAATGGTTCCCGGGGCGAATTTGTGTGATAAGAGTCAGTGGGGGGTAGGTGGGGGGTAGGGGACCCGCCACCTACCCACGGCCGGAAATTGTATCTCCGGCAGCGGGCAGCCGGCGGGCGGGCAGCTACCCGCCGGCGACCCGCTGCCCGGAACAGTGTTACCGGCGGGCAGCCGGCGGGTGGCCCCCCACCCACCGGCTACCCGCTGGAATCTTTCCCATCTTGGGTTCCCGGCTTCCCCGTTTGATGTTTCCCCCGTTCCCCGTGGTGTCTCAACGGACTCCGTGTATCGTGCCTATGTCTAGTTTGATGTTTCGGGTACCGTTCGTAGGTTTATGAGTATATTATATTGCATGCTAGTCGAATTGGTATCCCGTTGACCTAGGTGGAAGAAGTATGAACCCCTTAGGACTATTCTTAGTATATGATGGATCACGCATAGGTTTTGTTATATGTTTTCTCCCCCTTCCCAATGTGTTAATGTGGGCTGCATGTACTTGCTACGTGTTATGTGTGCATGTAACCCCGAGTTGGTTAAGATCAATCGGGCTATACGGGCAGTCGGGTGGGCTGAGAACCATACCGGCTGTTAACCAGGCTGGTAGAGACCGGTCAGGTATATAAATATTATATAGGACTAAGTTCCACTATACGGGCAGTCGGATGGGCTGAGAACCATACCGGCTGTTAACCAGGCCGGCAGAGACCGGTCAGGTATATAAATATTATATAGGACAAAGGTCCACTATACGGGCAGTTGAATGGGCTGAGAACCGTCTCAACTGTTAACTAGGCTGGTAAAGACCGGTCAGGTATATAAATATTATGTAGGACAAAGGTCCATCAGTCGGTTGCGATCGACTCCCCCGTAATGTGAGGCGGGGCAGGGTGCTGCGGGGCCGTGTCAGAGCTATATGCGCTGACCCTCATGTATGGGCATGCGATTGGTCCTGTGGCGCCAACAAAGTGTGCTATGTGATGAGATATGGATGAGTTGTGGTTATGAGTATCTTGAGGGATGGGACTATGGGATTTATGCTGGGGATTGATTATGTTGGGTTATAATTATTAATTGTGCTTAGCTTTATCTGTCTTGCTTGTTGTAGATCGTATACGCTTGTTATAACTGTTGCTTGTGTCTAGCCTTATCTGTCGAGTCATTCCCGGTTTTAAAAGCTAGAGTTCGTAGGATATATCTTCATGTTCAAAATGGTTTTCGTATATCTATATATACCTCTATATGTAATGTATTTCAACACGTTGGAGTGGGTTACCAGCATCTCTCGCTGAACAGATATATTTGGCTTTCAGGCACAGACGAGTAGATCACTGGAGTGCGCTAGAAGCTTGGGCGTAACTTAGATAGTTTTCCCTTTCGGCCTGCGTGCCATGATTTAGTATTGATACTATTTGAGGATATTAGTTAGTTAGCCTGTGCACCTGAGTTCTCTAGCTCAGGTGTGGCATAGCACCCCATACTCTTGTGTTATGTTTTGGGATCTAATGAGATTTCACCTTTATTTTATAAGTTTTAAATATCCTGAAAATCTGGGGTGTTACAGGAAGCTCCTTGGGTTTGCTTCATTGTTCCCTAGGGACGGTCTTTGGTTGGTCAGGTTGCTTGGTCTTGTGTTGGTGTCATTCCTTGTTCTTTTTACCGGTGGTGCTCCCCCTCTGGTGTTCCTTTTTCGCATCTGTTCCTGAACCCCGCGCTGGAGTAGTTGGATTCGATAGAGATTGGCGGCACTGGAGTAAGCCTCGTTGAGTATCCGAGGTCTGCTTACCACTAGTGCTTTTCGGGCTTCGAAGTTGAGGCCCAAGACGAATCTTTCTATTTTGGTTACTTCGGTGGGGACTAGCTCTGGTGCGAAGCGCGCTAGTTCGAGGAATCGCTTGTGGTATTCCATGACGGTGCCTGTCCCTTGCTTTAGATGAAGGAACTCTTCGTACATGGATGCCTTTACGTGTGTTGGGTAGAATCGTTCTCGTAGTCGTGTTTTGAGGTTTTCCCAATTGAACCCTGGTTCTTGTTGGTAAGCGGGACCCTCGTGGATCAACCAAAGATCGGCTTCGTGTCCGAAGTAGAACGGGGCTACCTCTACGCGACGTTCTTCTGGGCATTCCACTAACCCGAGGATTTTGTCGAGGGTCCGGATCCATTCCTCCAGGATCACGGGGTCCTCTTCTCCTAAGAACGTGGGTGGTCGATGATTCGAAACTTGTCGGGCGACGTCTGAGTTCATGTTTGATGGAGTAGGCGGGGGCCTGTTGTTGCGAAGAGCTACGTCGCTTAGTGCCTGGGCGACTTGCGTTAGTTGCTGTAGTGTTTGGGTCAGGGGGTCTTGTGTGGTGGGTTCTGGAGTCCTTGATTGTCTTCTGTTGGGTGCCATGCTGTCGTCTTTCTGAGTCAATGTTTATAAGAATATTAAATTAGAGCTTGGTGTCCTTCTTTGACGTGATAAGCGGAGGAAGGTTTTCTTTAGACAAGGAAGGAATGAAGTGAGGGGGTTTATGTGTAGGTTTCACAATCTCACCGCGCGTCTTAAAATTCCCGAGTCCTATGTTCCTAAATACCTAGAGTTCAAGCCTAATGTCCTAAAATCCGGTCTTAAGAGTCTTATCCTAGGGTCAAACTTAGGCTCTGATACCAATTGTAACACCCCAGATTTTCAAGACTTTTAAAACTTATATAATAAAGATAGAATCTCATTAAATCCCGAAATACGATACAAAGAGTACGGGGTGCTATGCCACACCCGAGCTAGAGAACTCGGGTGCACAGGCTAAATTCTAAAACCTCAACCAGTATCAATACTAAATCATGGCACGCAGGCCGAAAAGGGAAAACTATCTAAGCTACGCCACAAGCTTCTAGCGCGCTCCAGTGATCTACTCGTCAGTGCCTGAAAGCCAAATATATCTGTTCAGCGAGAGATGCTGGTAACCCACTCCAACGCGTTGAAATACAATACATATAGTTATATATATATATATATATATATATATATATATATATATATATATATATATATATATATATATATACGAAAACCATTTTGAACATAAAGATATATCCTACGAACTCTAGCTTTTGAAACAGGGATAGACTCAACAGATAGGGTTAAGCATAGACAGCAGTTATACCAAGCATATACAGTTTACAACAGGCAAGGCAGATAAGATAAGCACAATTAATAATCATAATCCAACATATACGATTCCGAATATGAATCCCATAGTCACATCCCCAAGGCACTCATAACAACAACCCCTCCATATCTCATCACATAGCACACTTTGTTGGCGCCACAGGACCAATCGCATGCCCATACATGAGGGTCAGCGCATATAGCTCTGACACTGTCCCGCAGCACCCTGCCCCGTATCGCAACACGGAGGGGTCGATCGCAACCGACCGATGAACCGCAGCTCATCATAGTGTTTGATCGCAACCAAACAGTGGACCGCAACCCAAGAGTATGTCATCTGACCGCAGCCAGGAAATATGAACCGCAGCTCATGTTGAAACATTTGATCGCAACCAAATGGTGGACCGCAGCCCAAGAGTGTAAATCTGACCGCAGCCAGCTTCTGAACCGCGGCTCAGGATTAACCAATCCGATCGCAACCGAATTGGGGTATCATGCACACATAACACATAGCAAGCACATGCAACCCACATTAGCACGTTGGGAAGGGGGAGAAAACGTATAACAAAACCTATGCGTGATCCTTCACATACTAAGAATAATCCTAAGGGGTTCATACTTCTTTCACCTAGGTCAACGGGATACCAATTCAACTAGCATGCAATATATAAGACTCATACAACCTACGAAAGGTACCCGAAATATCAAACTAGACATAGGCACGATAGACGGAGTCCGTTGGGACTCCACGGGGATCGGGGGAACATCAAACGGGGAAGCCAAAATCCCAAAGTGGGGTCCAAACCAGCGGGTAGCCGGTGGGTGAGGGATCACACGCCGGCTGCCCGCCGGCGGTAGCTAAACCGGGCAGCGGGTGCCCGGCAGGCAGCTGCCTGCCCGCCAGCTGCCCGCTGCCGGCGTTGCCCAAGAAGGCCGCGGGTAGGTGGCGGGTCCCCTACCCCCCACTAACTCTTTTTCACCAAAAAGGCCCCGGGAACCTTTTGTGGAACCCGAAACCATGCTTAGACACTTCCAAACGCAATTGACAACACACGTAGACAATTAACGGGTCAAAGATCGAGAAACATATGGCACATAACCTATCATGCTTTTCTAAACATAATCAACACCCAATCATGCGAATTCCCACCCAATATACCACGAATAATTCCATACGATACAACCTAGGGTTCTAATTGTTTTTAAATCAACAAGGGCACAATTCATCTTTCAATATCAAGATTCGGTAAGAATATCATATAAACATCAAGAACATCCTACAATCATCAAGAACATCATATAATCATCAAGAACGTCATATAATCATCAAGAACACCATAATTATCAAGAACCTTTCATCATCAAGATCTCCCATGGAATTATCCCATCAATCATCAATAATAATATCACAAATCATCAATACACAATAATATGGGAAAATCCTATGGGGGAAATCATAGCTATGAAAATAGGTTTTGTTGAGACATGGGTTACCTCTTAGCCTTAATTAATTCCTTGGCTATGAAGGGTCTTTCTTTAAGCTTTCTTGCTTTCTTGATTTCTTCTAAGGGAATTCTTGGAGCTCTATGGGGTGGTGAGTCGTTTATTGTGGTGGGGGGGTTCTAGGTGCCTCTTAAGTCCCCTATTTATATATTTAGGAGTCCTGGTTAGGAACTAATATTATAGGCTTGCTAATTCTATTCCTTTTGGAACTAAGGATTGGGTTTAGGGATAAGGGCCCATGGACTATGGTGGGCCTTTCCTAATTAATTATTGTGATTTAATTCCTTCTTTTGGGTAATTTGTTAAATGATTAATTGGTTTTAGGGATCGTAACACGGGGTGTTACACTTGTGGCTTCCCGCCTACCGGCATGAGCCAGCTATCCCCAACCGCTCTAGGAGCGCTCCGAGATCCACCCGCCCGCATATCCGGCCCATACGGGTACCTTTCCAATGGGATTCCCGCTTCCCTAGCTTGTAGACAAAAAGTGTGCAAGTGACCCATATATCCACAGAAGTAACAAAACTTGTGCAGTCGTTCATACCTAAAGTTAACCCATGTTGTCGTCTTATCCCTCTTCATCAACTTCATCCTTCTCCTTAGCGGCCTATCAACCGGAATTGATACCCAAATACGATGAAAGGTTAACCATGACGCCCCTTCAAACCGGTCATCATGCTTAACAAAAGAACCCAAAAAATTCCCTGCCTGCTCCAAAATTGCCTGAGATGTATACCCTTTTGGCATGTCATGCAGCTGTACCCACATGTCAATCATATCCAGCTTCACATCCACTGGGTTCACCCGGTCCATAACCTCTCGACAAACAAGAGTATTGTTCTCAAACGCCCAAGGACCCCCATTCAAGACATACTCCATATTTGTTTTATGTATAAAAAACAAATAGGAATAATCCCCTTTGGATCTCCGTTACTTGCACCCCACGTACCGGTTGCCACACCGAATCTAAAACCTGTCTCATGAAGTCCAGTTTCACCAACTTTTGTGTTAAAAATCGCCCCACCACCCTCCACGTCTCCTCTTCCCCCTCCCCACCACCGTTTACCTCGGCAGCACCACCCTCCGGCATAAACACAGCGCCCTCCTCCTCTTGCAGAGCCCAATCCGCCCACCTATCTGTCAAAGCCGCAACGTCAGCCATCCCCTCCGCCGACTGATCAGCCACCATCCCCCCTCCTACGCTGCAAACCACCACCAGCGTCCCCTCCCTCAGTTCGCCCGATACCAGCGACCGTCTCCTCCCTCCGCTCGCACTACCCCCGGCATCGCCTCCTCCTCCCTACGGTGCAAACCACCGCCAGCAACCCTCCCTCCACTCGCACTACCCCAGCCGTCACCTCTTCCCCCCATCGGTGCGAACCACCGCCAACAACCCCTCCTTATGCTCGCACTACCCCAGCCGTCACCTCCTCTCCCCGTCGGTGCAAACCACCGCCAGCAACCCCTCCATCCGCTCGCATAACACCGGCCATCGACCGGTAGAGAACTACCAAACGTTGTTGAAAACCTAGGAAAACCCTAGTAGAAACCGCAAAAACCCTAGAGAGAAACTAGAGAGAAACCCTACCAACTAACTATGCATTCAACTTTTACTTAATTAACATTCAATTATCTATGCATTAACAAGTTAAAACATATAAAATAGGGAAAAAGTTTAAATAGGCTATTGAATGGGGATAGCAATTAAGCCATCGAACTCGAATAAGGTCCAAATTGATCTATGAACTTGGAAAAAAGGTGCAATTAGCATTTTTAGCAGGTTACCAACAATTTTTTGCTGATTAAGATGACATGTGTATATTTTAATTTTTATTATTATTATTATTAGCCAACATTTGTTCCTTAAAAAAATAATAAAAAATAGAGCATTTGACCCTAAGACAGTTCTCAGAAATGGTACTCCGTACTTCACAAGCATTTTGCATTATCAATCTTTCAAGACAGTCACCACTACATTTTTTGTTTTATTTTTGTTTTATTTTACTTCATCCATCTCTTTAATTCTTTGGGGTTAACTAATTTAATTAGACTTGTAATCCTTTGGGGTTTACTGTCTTAGGGTCAAATGTTTAGTGTTTTTTTTTTAGGGTCAAATGCTTAGTAAGATAATAATAATAATGAAATAAAATTTAAAATATACACATGGCATCTTAATCAGCAAAAACTTGTTGGTGACCTGCTAAAAATGCTAATTGTACTTTTTTCCAAATTCATGGATCAATTTGGAGCTTATTCGAGTTCGATGGCTTAATTGCTATCCACAAATAGTTCAATGGCCTATTTGTAGCTTTTCCCTATAAAATATGATACGCATTGTGACACCCCGTAAATCCAAAATATATTTAAGGATTAATTAGATAATTAATCCTAGCTTAATTGATAATTTATTCCCAAAATCCTAAAAATTCAATAGTCGGGGACTAGAAATTGACTAGTCAATCCACGTCAAGGAGTTGTACTCTAAGCTTAAAGAATTGTTCCCTTGTATCATTACACTTCTCATTTTAGTAAGGGTAAAAAAGACTTTTCACCTTATGTTTGTATCCCAAGCTAACCTAGAGTGATCTTTCATTTCTTTTCCCTAACACCCTAAATAGAAAAGCTCCTCATTCTCTCTAGAAAATAGCTAGCTTCTTCTTCAAGCCAAGTTTGGGCAATTCAAGATTCTTCAAGTTGGTCTCCAATATTTAACCTTTCTTAACCTTGAGCATATAGGAGGGTAAGATCCTTGGTCCTTTAGTGTTTTTAGTACCTTTTAAGGTATCTTTTTCTAAAGATAGAATCTTTGTTGTCTTTTGGTGTGTTCTTGAAGTTGGAGTTGAAGGAGAGCCTTGTTAGAAGCTTGTAAAGGTGTGATAAGTGAAGGTTTAGGCTACAAGAGGTAACCCATGCTTTACAAAATCTATTTTCTTACCTATATGATTATTTCTTGACTTCTACATGTGATTTTTGCTATGAAATGTGAGTTTTGATGCATTGTCTTGTGAGAATGCATATCTTGAGCTTGTTATTAGGGTTCTTGTATGCCATTGCTTGGCTATTTCTTGGATTCAAGTCATGTTGTTGTATTTTGTGAGATTTTGGGTGTTTTGGACTTGAATTTGGTCTTGGTGTTAAAAATCCCCGAAGGGATTATTTGTGGTACAGGGATGTACCCGCGGGTGGAACGGCGGGTAGTGCACCACCCGCCGCTCCACCCGCGGGTACACCACTCGTGGGTGTTGGTACCCACGGGTGGAACCACAGGTGGAGGTCCACCCGTGGCCCCACCCGCGGGGTACACAATGGTGATCTTTGGGGATTTGTTCCCCGTGATTCTTTTGACTCGGTAATTGATGTTTTGACTTCCCGATGTTCTTTGTTGGGCTATTTGAGTGTCTTCTTGATGTTTCGTATGTCTAGAACAGTATGGTAGGAATCCATGTAGGATTTGGTGTCTTGAATCGTGCTAAGTGTTCAACTTTGTGATTCGTTGAACCATGATGAGTCTTTTATGTTCTAAGGAACTATGTTTGGTTTGCCCGTTTAATAAGCATGCTAGTTTGATGTTGAAATGCTAGTGTGTGCGGTTTGTTCTTTCCTATTGTGGATGATAACTTGTGTTGATCATCGTTGATGTCGGATTGTAATCCTTCCTTGATTGAGTATGGTTTCATATCTTTGTTGTGATCCATTGATTGATTCCTATGATGATGTGTGTGTTGGCTGTACCTGGATTGCACGATTAATGGTATGGGACATTAATGACCAAGGTACAGATGTGGTCCCCGTGGTGTCCATGAAATGATATTATGGAGTTGTATTATGGGCTTCAGGCTCACTTGTTGGTGGTTGTGTGATTGAAATGAATGGTACCCTCGTGTACTATGTGTTGGTGGAAATGTTGGTGGTTATTGGTGGGGGAACGACGATTCCCGGAGGTATAAGGTTGGACTCAGAAGTACAGGGGTCCTGGAGGTAAAGGTTGGAACTAGTTATAAGGTCGGGGGTAGCCATAAGGTTGGAACCGGGCATAAGGATGGAACATGGAATCTGGAACGTGTGACATGTAGTGTCACGGTGGCATGTGTTGACAATGTGTGATTGTCTGTCTTTTTCTGTTAAGCATGTCGAGTGGTATTCTACTTTGTGATCAGTAGAATACACCTCGATTTGTACTTGTGTTACTGTTGTCCTTGTCTTGGGATGTTGATTCCCTTGTCCTTTGTGAGAGTGAACTAGAGTCTTTGCAAGTTGATTTCTCTTATTGACTTTTGAACTGAAATATACGGTATCCCGTTTTGAAAATGATTTTGTATTACACTATCTATATATGCTACTTAATGCGTATTGATGGGTTACCAGCATTATTCGCTGGCCGGGCGTCGTCCCCTTTCTTTATGTGCTTTACAGGTCCTGAGTAGGCATGGCGAGAGCGTTAGCCGTTGATAGTATAGATCCCCTGAACCTTGCAGTTAGTGTTTTGACATGTGTGCCATAGTTATTGAACAATTAGATGGATGTGTAATTTTGCATTCTCTCAATTTAATGATATTAATTAAAAGATTGACGAAATAGTCTGACAGATTCAGCGATGATATCAGTTAGATAGTTGGAACACTAATTAGCTTGCGGAAAGAATAGACTAAGCCAGACAGCGAAAATAACAACACACAAGATGTTTACCCAGTTCGATACAGTGTGTGTCTACATCTGGGGGACGATCACATAGGCGTCCAATCCACTAACAAATTATCCAATGTACAAAGGTAGAGAATAGTAATCTCACCCAAGTGCCCCACACAAGGTACATACCCAGTCTACACTGATTTAGTGGATTGTTGAAGATGGAGAGTCGTGCATACAGAAGTCCAATGAAATCTGTTCACTTGGAGAGCTAACTCTGATGCAGTCCACTTCAATGACGTTGTTCAATGTTGTTCCCACAACCGTGTGATCTTAGCGTCATTTTCATTTAAGCAACGATATATCTTCTCAAGTTCATCATCATAATCAACAAGAACAAACTGTCTTGAGAAGAGGCATGATAATCAAAGATATGGTCTCTTAGTATGCGTCAGAGTGTTTCTTTCTTCAGGACCCCAGATCAATAGACATCTTTGTCCCAATTCGAAACAAGAGAGCTGCCAATTACTTGCCGACCGTATGAAAATGAGCTGATGGAAGCCAGTTGTGAAGAGCAAGATGGTGCAAGATGACATATTTTGAGGTGAGTTGTGAGCTAGGCAGATAATCTTTTTCACCCGTAGGCCATGTATCAGTTTGTCTACCTGTGAGGGTCTTCGCTACCAAATCCCAGTCCGTGATTTCTTCTTCGTGCACACCTTTCAAACCATAATACTCATTTATCATGTCAGGGCCGAAGACATACCATTTTTCGCGAATGAAGATTTGCATTGGTCGCGTCCCGGACAAATTGTCAATCTCCTCATTGAGATTACAGTAGAACTCGTATGTCAGAAGCTTCGAATAAGGACAAATGGAGGAGACATTCTTCAACAGGCCCACTTCACTCAGCAAAGGCAAGATGTCACAAACAGAATTCAACTGGTGTTCATCAACAGACCGCTGAACAATAAGATCTCTCCGGATCATTGTGGACCATTTTCCTTGGGCAGTAGAGGAGACAAACTGAGGTCTATAGATAGATGTGTCAGGATTCTCAGCAGTAGGCTGAACCTCAGGCGTAATACTTCGTCCTCTGGAGCGAGTAATTGGTTTCCCTTTCCGGGTAGAAGACGTGGGAACCACAGCAGGACCTTTTTGCTTGACGGATGACCGCAGGGTTTTGAACACTTGTTGAACAGGAGGATTAGCTTCAGTTTTGACTGACTCACCAGACTTTCTCCTCTTCTCAGGTTGAGCCACATCAAGATTGTCATCACCAGATTCCACAACCACTTTCACAGGGACACTCTTTCGTTTGGATTTTCTCGTCTCTTTGGATGGGGAATGAGCAGAAGGACTTGGAGATACAGAGTGACTTGTCTCAGAAACTTGGGCAGAAGAACTTCCAAGAAGACTGGTAACTTCTCGAATCTAGAAGGTGGTTGAATCAGGATGCGCAGTAGCCTCAACCGAAGGGGGTTTTGACAAATGGGCTTGTGGACCATAGACTTCAGCAAGAATCTTTTCATCTTCACTCGAGGACTCAGAAGGATGAATCAC